ATATATAGTTAAAAAAGGCACTGGACTGCAAACTCCGGTTATTTTAGCTCCGGGTCCGGCTCTACATACAAAAGCAAGAAGGTATAAGCAGTATATATTCCTATAAAACCGAATCTGACATTCGACTTTGTGCAAGGTGTTTGATATTCTAAGATCTTATAGTTCAACAACAACCTTTCGTTTAATCTATCTCTACTTTAATCTATCTCTAGAAGATAATGAAGTTTTTTGCTGAATTGTGCACCGTGACTGATTTCAATACATCGAAACGTCAAATCATCCTGCCTCATTTCTCGTCCTGGCAAAGCAGGATAATATAAACAGCCCCTTATTCAGCTTATTGCACATGCTGCCTTTAATCCCTTCGGGGTGAGGCAGCACTTACCTTGCGATAGTAACTTCTACTAATATTCTTGTCTGTATTTAAAGTGCATATGACATGAAATTTCTTATTTTCTTAAGTGAAAGAACTCTTTAAGCTGTAGTGTAACTTATTTTTCAGTTTCTTGTTTTTATGGTTTGTTCCCGAGATATTTCAGTTTGTTTGATATGTAAATGAAAAAGTTTGCAACCAACGTGACGTCATAAATTAGCGGACATATTCACACTCATTTACATATCAAACAAATTGAAATATCTCGGGAACAAACCATAAAAATAGGTACGCGACGCGTACATGTATCTGCGAAAAAACTTGATTCACATTTTGTATTTTCTTGAAAGAAACTGAATAATGAAGATGGCATGGGACAATTGATATATTTCATCACTTATTATAATGGCAGATAAGATTTAAAACAGGGCTGTACACAGCGGGGAGTGCAGCAGGGCAAATGCTACCCCTGCCCCTGCACCGAGAAAATTTCACTAACTTTATAATGTGATTATGATTGTAACAGATAATTATGCAGTCAAGAAATAAAAATTTCATGCAAACAATATTCAAAGTGTCTATACAGCCAGCTATTTAGCAAACTGTCACCTGTCAATTCAATCCATACTCATCAAATTTTCAAAACTTTATTGTAATCATATGAAGCAAAAGTTATGTCACTTGTTGTTTACACTTGCCAATGTTAACTGTTGAGTAACATACACAAAATATTTGGTGAACATGTCGAAGACCACTGAATAATTGAGAATGTTTTGAAGGTCATGAGTGAAGTATATAATTAAATTCCAGTTCTGTGCACAGTTAATGATATATCACACTGTTCGGTTTAACACGTACAGCACATTCACACAAAAACAATTGTGTTGTGGGAGATTATCGGTTTGAGTAGAAGGTATCAGAAGTTTAGTTTTGTACATTGTGTGCCATTGATCAAATCCACCATATAATATATGATTATTCATACTAATGAATTTAGGTAAGATTGTCTTGCAAGTTGGTTGTTCTGACAAAATTATCCAGCCAATATCCAGTACACTGTACATTTATTCTTCATTCTTGTATTAATCTCTAAAGAAAAATATTTATGTTAGAAAGCAAAATGACAATGTAATGAGGCTCGGGAAGGTGAGGATTCTTTTATTTGAAAATGTTTGTAAAAATTTTGTTTAATTAACTCTAATGTGTAAAACCAAAATGTATAAGTATTTTAACTGATAACATCTTCAACCTTTGCTCTAACACTACATTTGATGACAGCTTTATAGTTGGACTGTTGTTTTGAACCGAGTTATGGAGTCATTATACAGAAATACAGGACCAGGATTTAATTCAATATCTCCTGAGAATGTTTTCACTGTTTAAAATATTACAGAAGTCACAGAAGGATTGTTTTTAATACTGTATAAATCTTTTTGTGAACTATGTTGACAAATGGCTTAAAATATCCTCGAAAATATCCAATATTTTATACAGTGTAATATATTAATAAAAAATTCCAGAGTGCATTCCATGTAAACTCTACGCCGAAGATACGGCAATATTAACTATAGATAGTATAGTAAATATTTTGCCGAACTGGCGAACTTGTGTATTATAAAATATGTGGGACATATATTTGCACAAATTTGGTATTTAAATATATAATATGTGGTATTTGACTACTTACCAGATGAGGATAAGATTCCATGTTGATAAATAACTTCGGAATAAAAAAAGGACAGCCAATTCAAGATAAATTGATAAAAATATCAAGATATTTTGAAACAATAACACGATTTATACACGAGGCCTGACGAGGCTAAAGTATGCCCGTTCGCAGGTTAGATGCGGGCACGATGTAAACAATTGATGTAAACGAATCGCTGATTGGCTTAAATTGCCTTAAATTATATAAGCTCGTCGCTGAATGGCTATCTGTTAACATACGGTACGGTACGGTACGGTACGGTACGGTCACGGCACGTTTGCGATAGCATATATATCTGCTTCGCAGATACAAAAATAGGTACGCGACGCGTACATGTATCTGCGAAAAAACATGATTCACATTTTCATCACTTATTATAATAAATATAATAGCAAATAAGATTTTAAAGTCAAACATAGTACAAATCTAACAAGGCTGTAGACAGCACAGAGGGCAGCAGGGGCAACTCACCCCCCCCCCCCTCGAAAATTTAACTAATTTTATGTGATTATGATTGTAACTCGGATAATTATGCAGTCAAAAAATAAAAATTTCATGCAAACAATATTCGCAGTGTCTATTTAGTAAACTGTCACTTGTCAATCCATACCCATTTTGAAAACTTTATTGTAATCATATCAAGCAAAAGTTCTGTCACTTGTTGTTCACACTTGCCAACGTTAACTGTTGAGTAACATACACAAACTATTCGAGGAACATGCATTAATACTGTAGCAAAGAGTCCATCATATATCGAAGACCACTGAATAGTAGAGAATGTTTTAAAGGTCATGAATGAAGGATATAATTAAATTCCAATCCTGTGCACAGTTAATGATATACCACACTGTTCGGTTTAACACAACATATCCACACAAAAACAATTTGTGTTGTGGGAGCAATGAGAATATCGGTTTGAGTAGAAGGTATCACAAGTTCAGTTTTGTACATATATTGTGTGCCATTGATCTGACCATCCATATAATGACTAATATATGATTATTGTAGCTGTTAAGTTATTACAGTATCCATACCATTGATACTTATGAATTTAGGTAAGATTGTCTTGCAAGTGGGTTGTTCTGACAAAATTATCTAGCCAATATCCAGTACATTTATTCATCATTCTTGCATTAATCTCTAGACAAAAACATTTATGTTAGAAAGCAACATAACAATGTAATATTAAAGGAGGGAGGGTGGGGATTCTTTTATTAGCATTTGAAAATGTTTGTAAAAATTTTGTTTAATTATAAACTCTATTAAATGTGTAAAACTAAAATGTATAAGTATTGTAAACTGATAACATCTTTAACCTCCAACACTACATTTGATGACAGCTTAGTTGGACTGTTGTTTTGAACAGAGTTTATACAGAAATACACGACCAGGATTTAATTCAATATCTCCCGAAACCATTAGTTTCCTTTGGTATTGTTCATTGGCAATATTGCCTGCTATGTTTTGACTGTTTAAAATATTTATAGAGAAGTCACAGAAGGATTGTTTTACTGTATAAATATTTTTGTGAACTATGTTGACAAAGGGCTTAAAATATCCTCGAAAATATCCAATATTTCATACAGTGTAATATATTAATAAAAAAATTCCAGAGTGCATTTCATGTATACAGTCTCTACGCCGAAGATACGGCAATATTAACTATAGATAGTATAGTAAATATTTGCCGAACTGGCGAACTCGTGTATTATAAAATATGTGGAACATATATTTGCACAAATTTGGTATTTAAATATATAATATGTGGTATTTGACTACTTACCAGATGAGGATAAGATTCCATGTTGATAAATAACTTCGGAATAAAAAAAGACAGCCAATTCAAGATAAATTGATAAAAATATCAAGATATTTTTGAAACAATAACACGATTTATACACGAGGCCTGACGAGGCTAAAGTATGCCCGTTCGCAGGTTAGATGCGGGCACGATGTAAACAATTGATGTAAACGAATCGCTGATTGGCTTAAATTGCCTTAAATTATATAAGCTTGTCGCTGAATGGCTATCTGTTAACATACGGTCCGGTCCGGTCACGGCACGTTTGCGATAGCATATATATCTGCTTCGCAGATACAAAAAGTCGAGCAAATTGTCCACTACCTGCGCCATGGGAAACATTGAGATGGTTTGACAAAAAACCAACAACGAGTGGTTTGTGGCCAAGTAAAAAACTATATTTTTGATGAAACAAGTAATGTATTTTATAATAATTATCTTAATATTATTCTTTAGTCTGTCTTAGACTGCTCATGACCATTTTATTCACCTCTTGCCAGCGTCAGATGCATGTTTGTTTGCATGACAGATGAATTGACTTTTGCATGTATCAGGGGGCAGTGGTAATTTTCATTTAAGAAAAAGGAAATAAATTACAGCTACAATTCCTAGATGTTGCAGCCAAAATTCATGCAGATATCAGATGTTTGGCATTTCATATATTACTTACATTATTTAATACAGAGTGACTGGGGAAATTTTTTGAAATACAAAAATAAAATGCTAAACAAATCTGGAAGTTTTACCCATACCCAATGCATATAGTCTCATGTTGGAAAAAATTGTATCAACTTGGTATGCGATTCTCTGAGCAATGCATCATGGAACGATACAGTGTAGAAGTTAGAGTTATAAACCGAGAAGGAGGTTTATAACTGATATATTGCCCCCGAGGATGTGTAGCGTCCGAGGGCAATATATCAGTTATAAACCTCGAAAGTCGGTTTATAACTAACTTATATCTCATTTGTGGAGGTTTTCTAACATATTTTGTCATTTTCAAAAAATTTTTATGAAAAATTCTCGCGTTTTGTCGAAAAGTTTTGATGTAATTATTTATTCAAGGTATATTAGCTAGTTATAAACCTCGGACGATCAAAGAAAACTGACACAAATGAGATATAAGTGCTGTTACACTGTGTGACTTGTCGTGCAATATTGTTGCAAAATATGTTGTAGGTGAAATTCCAAAGTGCATAAATATTACAATCGGCAATTAAGTCTTGGAGTGTCCTTGGTGTAGCAATAGTTACATAAAGTAGAATCATATACTTGTCACAATTCCAGCAACACATTTTGAAGCAGTGTGACTGCAACGCCCTAGTCAGTGCTCTTACAACTTTTCATTAGTTCTTTTGTAAGTAAGCATTTTCGGTATTTTCTAGATAACGAGGTGTATTACACTGGCGGAAAGGAAGGAATTCGCAGAAAGGTTGTCCTTACCATAAAAGAGATTGGGGAGATTCTTCATCATCATCATGGCAAAGCTATGGAGGCCATAGTGGTGTGAATGCCACTCTTAATAAAATTTCCAACTATTATTGTTGGAATG